TTGCTGATTTGCTTTGGCTCCAACTACGTCAATGCACTTAAAAAAATTAATTTCTTTTCAGAGTTTTTATAATGGCATGGTTTTATTAATCTGAAGTTTGGTGGGGAATCACTTATGTAATTATTTTCCAGATTAGTAATTCCAGCACCTCAGAATCATGCCCTTTTTTTAAAAAGCCACCCAGATCTACAACAATTTTAGGGATGCACCCCCCAAGTCAGCAAGAGTGGGGAGGGACCAAGCAAACAGCTGTCTTGTCAGCCTCACTTTTAAGGACCATTACTTTCTATGGGAATAGACATGACATTCAGAAACTTCCCACAAAATAGCTTTTAAAAATTTTAAGTGACTAGGCTGCACCAAGTAGCTGTTTGCCAGGGCCAACTTCCACTCTCCTCCCCACTCCTGCTCTCACTGAAGCACTCCCGAAATTCCAGGGGATAATCTCCAGAATTTCAAGAGTGTGTTGGATCACTCCAGATATCCCCATGCTTATCCAAAACAGCTTTTGAGTATCTTTAGCTCAGGAATATCTGAATGCACACCCCTCGATCCAGCCCGGTATTTTGCATTCCACTGCTTATACCCTGTTAACTTCAATGACACTTAGACACACATAGCTAAAAGCAAAAGAGCAACTGAAAGATCACAGATCAAGGCGGACAGCTTAAAATATTATGCTCTCCTCAAGCATAGACAATTTGTTTTATTTATTTTAAATATTTCTGTGCTTTCTTTCCACCTAAAGAGGTTTCCAAGGCAGAAAATATTTGATCATTAAAACAGCATTTGAAATAAAGTATATCTAAAATAATTGAATGAAAACAAATAAACAAACATAACACAATGCTGGACATATACAATGCACAAACAATTATATTGTTTATCAAAAAATGTCTGCAAACTTACTGAGAGCTCTCCTAAGGCCAACCGGTGTTCTACCTAAGATGACAGCATCATTGGCATACAATAAGATAGACACATGTTGTTGAAGTTTTGGTGGATGTAAACTGGGGGAGTCTAAGTGACTTACTATATCATTAATATACAAACAGGGAAGGGGCTAGTAAGCAACTCCCCTATAGGTGTTAATAGGGTCCGATAAATTTCCTTTTCTATTAAGCCTAACCTGCAAATGAGTGTTATCATGAAAAGCACACAATACAAAGAAGAGCCTTCTGTCAACTGAGGAAGCTTCTAAAATGGCCCACAATTTCGGCCTTGATATTGAATCAAAAGCAGCTTTCCAGTCAATGAAAGCCACAAAAAGTGAATTAGAGCCTTTAGCAGCGTATTTTTCTATAAGGTGTTGAACTGTAAGGCAGTGACCCAATGTGGATCTAAAACTCTCTAAAACCAGCTTGCTCTGTTGCAATCACGTTTTCGTGGATCAGCCAATCCTCAAGCTTTACCAGAAGGTGTTTAGCATATAATTTGCTACATATATATAAGAGGCTAATAGGCCGATAATTTGTGGGCTCTTCTCTTGCGCCCTTTTTGAATATGGGGACCACTATTGTTGTATTTCACTCTGAGGGGATAAGGCCTGAGGAATCGATAAAAGTGAAAAGTTCTGCAAGGAAGGGTGCCTACCAATCAATATTTTCTTTAAAAAATTCAGGTGGCAGTCCATCAGACCCTGGAGCCTTAGCAGATTTTAATTGAACAATATAAGATTTAATTTCCTCTTGAGAAACTGGCAGCCAGGGAGGCAAATGTCCGCAGTTGTCACTGAGGTTCAAGGGGAGTCTTTATACAATTGCTCAAAAAAAGTAACACATTTGCAGGGCAGTACTGGGGGAACAGTCTGGGAGAGAAAATTTTGTTTCTTATCAGTGACCAATCGCCCAAATTTTTTTTTTTCTTTTGTTGGATTAGGTGTTTGTAATCCTTTTTTGTGACTAGAGTTCTTGTTGGATTACAAATCTTTGGTCACCAGTTGATTTCTTAAACTGATAGTAAAGGGCAGAAAGCTCTTTTTCTTGCTTATTGGCAATCCACATCAAACCATGGTTTGGATTTCTTGTAAGATGTGGTGGGTTGGTCTTTAGGTTCACATAGAATAGTTTTAAAACCCTGGACAAATCTATTATAACATGTAAGAAGGTGTATGTTAAATTCCTGACAGGTAATTTTGGAAATTTGGGAACCTTTAACCTCAATTACTTCTCTGAGTTTTGCTTGCATCTGAGGAGACCATCTCACCCCACGACTTAATACCAGGGGACCTTCATGTAAAGGCTGAAGGGAAGTGGCTTGAAATAAAGAAGGAAACTTAAATTGGACAAAGAGGGGGAAGTGGTCGCTATCAAAGAATGGGAGCACCTTAAAGTTCATTATTAGAGGTAATAGAGAAGCGCGTGCTAACATATACCCAATAGTGCTAAGTCTCTGACCCAACATATAGGCAAACTCAACTGAATAATCCTCCAAGAAAGTACCATTTAAAATGTACAGACCCAACCTGTAGGCCATTTTGGCTAGATATAAACCTGAGACATTTGAAGTGGATGATGCTCAGATGTAACTGGTATAACAAGATCTGTGACAAATATATTACTCCTCTCATAACAGATATGGTGGGACAAGCAGGTGCTGAGCAGTGTAACCAATTGTTAATCGATGGGAACCGGACAATTACTGAAACTGTGGCAAAATTTTGGATAGCGTGCTACTGCATTCAAAATACATGATCAAATATATTATAATAGTTGTATGTTTTTCCTTTATTTTATTATGCACGACTGTATTTTTATAGAGTTTTATTTCATTGTCTTAAATTCAGTTATATGAATGTTATATTTAAGCATGTGCATTCTATGGCTTCTTGCCGTAATAAATGCTTCATTCATTCATTCATTCATATATTGTTTATATAGAGATTCATAGCCCTTTAAACAGCAACAGAAACAGTTCCCTGATCTTGGCACAAAAGGACAAAATAGCAAGGAAGAAGGAAGCAGAAGTAAACAGGAAAAGAATGTGTTCAGTAACATATTTCAGGATGGAGACTAACAGACCTGATTTCAGGACCAGAACCAGACATAATTATTAGCTTTCCTCCCACTGTAAAATGTTGTCCTCAAAAGTAGTATTACCTGCGTCGTTTGAATGGGGACTTTGGCATATCAGCTGTCGGAATCATCTGTTCTCCTGGCCTAACCCACATTATGGGGCCATCATCGCTTTGTGACCGGCACTGAAGTCTGAGGCTAGAAAGAGTACCCCAGGGCAAAGTCATCTGTATACCAGAAAAGAAATCTGAATCAGCTAATCCAAAGAACATAATGGACAAATTGGCTCCTAATAAGCAGGCATAGCATCAAAAGAAATCTATATAAAATGCTAGTTCTCTCTTAACAGAATACATTCGGTTTGATCATTATTGGAGGTGTGCATTCAGATCTACCCGAGCCAAAAATATACCTGAAAAATACCTTATCAGTATTTTTAGGGTATATTTCAGCATCCCAAATGAATCCAGGTTTTCTGGGGAAAACCGGGAAAAAAATCCCAGACATATTTGGGAACTACCAGTTGAACCGAAAACAGTGGAGAGGCAGGAGCAGATTACTCCTTCCTCTCAGCTGTTTGCTGAGATTGCACTGCAGTCTCTTTAAAGTTTAAAGGGACTATAGAAAACAGCCTAAGGATCAGCTGTGCTGGAGAGAGCATACTGTTCCCCCTGCCTCGGCTTCGGGCTGGCTATCGTGCAGCCTGGTTTAAATTGGGCTGCAGGAGAAGCCAGCCCCAGAAGCTGCTGTGCCACAGGGAACAATCTGCTAGCCATGGCGTGCAGATCCTGGGGCCAGCTTCTCCTGCTATGCAGTTTAAACCGTGCTGCAGGAGAAACCATTCCAGCCAGGTCTGCCTGCAGTGGGGAGAGGCCTCCCTGCAGCACACAGATCCTGCGGCCAGCTTTTCCTGCAGTGCAGTTTAAACCTCGCTGCAGGAGAAACCAAACCAGCCCCAGGATCGAGTTGGCTTTAAAAAAAAAACTGGTATTTTTCTCAGGTCTATTGGACCCAAATATTTATTATTTTATTTTATTTGTACCCCACCCTCCCCACCAAAGGTGGGCTCACGGCGGCTTACAGACATCTTATAAAATACAATTAAAACCAATAATACATAATCGTAAGCATAAATACCAATTATTAAAAATATAGTTAAAACAGTTAAATACAGTTAAAAATGGTGGGACATTAAGAGAACGGGAGCAAAATTATTTACCATATGCCTTAGGTGACCATATAATTCACTTTGTTGTGCAGCGGGTACAGGCTAAGGCCAGGACACAGGCTACAAAGGTGGTATAGCCAGGGCCCAGGGACACTCCTCGGTGCCAACCGATTTGCGCCCCTGAACGCAGTGCTCTCCGGTGAACATGTGGGGAAAGGCGGTTCCTAAGGTATGCCGGACACTGACCATATATGGCTTTAAAGCACCTTGAAGTGAATCCGGTATGCTATCGGCAGCCAGTGCAGTGCCTTTAGTACAGGCTGGATGTGCTCCCGCCTGGGAATACTCATCAGCAGCCTGGCTGCTGCATTCTGCACTAGTTGCAGCTTCAGGATTTGAGACAAGGGCAGCCCCATGTAGAGAACATTACAGTAGTCTAATCTCGAGGTGACCATTGAGTGGATCACTGCTGCCAGATCATTGCAACATTGAGGAAGGGAACCAACTGCCTGATCAGCCAAAGATGGTAAAAGGCTGCCTTGGCAGTGGCTGCTACCTGGGCCTCCATTGTTAAGGAGGCATCCAGGAGCACTCCCAAACTCCTAACCACCGACGCTGGCACCAACTAGGCCCCAGCGAAAGTCAGGAGTGGGATCCCTACCCCCGGACCACCCCAACTCAGGCACAGGACCTTCATCTTCGTCAGATTAAATTTCCATCGACTCAGTCTAAGCCAACCAGCCACAGTTTGCAATGCCCAGTCCAGATCTTCTGGTGTACAGTCAGACCGCCGTCCAACAACAGATAGAGATGGGTGTCATCCGCATACTGGAGACACCCAAGCCCATGCCTTTCAGCAATCTAGGCAAGGGGGCACATGTAGATGTTCAATAACAGGAAAATGTGTTTAAAATGATACATCGGTGGCACATGGTACCAGAAAGGATAGCCCAAATATTTGTGGGGTCAGACGGGAAATGTTGGAAATGTAGGGTCCAGCTGGGCGCCTATTATCATGTCTGGTGGACGTGTAAGGAAGTGAAACCATATTGGAAGGAGGTGCAAAGGGTGTTAGTGCAAATAACTAATAGACAAATTCCGCTAGACCCAGAAATATTTCTTCTGAACATATTCCCTGATAGTTGGAAGAAAAAAGAAAAATATTTTATCTTGCATATAATAACTGCAGCAAGAATTGTGCTCGCAAAATATTGGAAGAGTGATCAGGTACCAAGTAGAAGGGATCTGATTAACAAAATATTTGAAGTGGTAGAAATGAATAGTTTAACACAAAAAATACATGGGAATATGAATTCAGTTTTTCAGAATGTTTGGTCACAGGTGTATAGATGGTTAGAACATAACTGAATATACAAGGCCTATAAGGGGGAATTGTATAAAAGGTCGGAACAAAATGAAGTACCTACTAAAGGAAATAGGAGGAGATCTGTATTTTTTTTTCTTGTTTGTTTTGTTTTTGTTATATGTGTTATGTTGTTGGATATCTGTATAGTGGTTTGTTGATGTTGTTGATGTTGTTATGTTAAGTTCAGTGTGGAAAATAATAAAAATTATATTAAAAAAAAATAACACTGGGGAGAGTACCGCCCCTTGGGGCACTCCACAGATCAGTGGGTGCCTTCAGGACAGCTGTTCCCCTAATGCCACCCTTCGTCCCCAACCCTGAAGAAAGGATGCGAGCCCCTGGACTCCGGGTGTTGGCGAGGCGGTGGATCAGAAGCTGATGGTCAAATGCTGCCGATGGGTCTAGCAACAGCAACACTGCTGATATGCCTCGATACAGATGCCTCCGAAGGTCATCTGTGAGGGTGACCAGTGCTGTCTCCGTCTCGTGTCCCAGGCGGAAGCCAGACTGGAAGGGGTCTAAGATGGAAGCGTCATCCAAAAAGCTCTGTAACTGGACTGCCACAGCCCTCTTGATTAACTTGCCCTAATAAATTTGGGATTGCAAATAAAATCACGGATCCAAATACCATAACGGTATTGGGATTCAGGATTTTTCGGAAATATCAAAAAAATGTCGGGTCCAATAGACCTGAACTGCAAAATACCGATTAAAAAAAATTGCACTCCCATAATAACTATTTTCATGAAATGTCTCTCTCTACCCCTTCTGCATCCTATACAACATCTCTCTAGAAGTTGTGGAACAGAATAGTATGCAGCAAACGGGAGGGGGGACACTACAGCCTGCCAAGGAATTAAAGATATATTTCTGCCAATTCCCCCAGAGCTACAACCCCCTGTACTGCATCCCACTCTGTTCCCAAGAGTCTCCCTGCCACAAAGGAGCAATTTTGAGGGGCATGAAGTAACAGACCTGCTCTGTGAACTCTGTCCCTAGTGTTTTGGACCCAATTCAGTGTTACCATTTGGTCATGCAAAAAAATAGGTATACATAATTTTGTTTGTTCGAGTCCCCAGCTATTCAATTACTGATTAGTAATGTATTACAGATATTAGTAATGCCAGTAATATAATTTACTCTCATTTTAAAGAATAAACTTTAATATGTAGCAAAAATAATGCTTACTCTAAGAAATGGAGATTCTTCCAACATATCAAGAAATTCTGGGAAATAGTCTCCAACTTCTTCATCCACTGCTCCAACAAGGCTGATCTGCCTCATCGGACCTGCTCTGTAGGTTCCACAGCAATACGTTCGACTGACCTGAGAGGGTATCAAGAAGTTACAGTGCATTTTTGTTCTATGGCACAACATTTAAACTACTTAATACAGCATGTTAAGAGAACATAAGAACAGAAGAGAAGCTGTGCTGGATCATGCTAATGGCCTATCCAATCCAACACTGTGTGTCACACAATAGCCAAAACCCAGGTGTTGTCAGGAGGTCCACCAGTGGGACCAAAACTCCAGAAGCCCTCCCACTGTTGACCCCCCCCCCCAAGCACCAAGAATACAGAGCATCACTGCCCCAGACATAGTGTTCCATCTATACCGTGTGGCTAATAGCCACTGATGGACTTCTGCTCCATATGTTTATCCAATCCCCTCTTGAAGCTGTCTATGCTTGTAGCTGCTACCACTTCCTGCTGCAGTGAATTCCATGTGTTAATTACTCTTTGGGTGAAGAAGTACTTCCTTTTCTCTGTTCTAAACCTACTGTTAATCAATTTCATTGAGTGCCCACAAGTTCTTGTATTGTGGGAAGAGGAGAAAAGTACTTATTTCTCTACCTTCTCTATCCCATGCATAAGTTTGTAAACCTCTATCATGTTACCCCTCAGATGTGGTTTCTCCAAGGTAAAGAGCCCTAACTTTTTTAACCTTTCTTCATAAGGAAAGTGTTCCATCCCCTTAATCATTTTAGTTGCCCTTTTTTGCACCTTTTCCAATGCTATAACATCTTTTTTGAGGTTCAGTGACCAGAATTGTACACAGTATTCCAAATCCATCGATTTATACAGGGACATTATGATACTGGTTGATTTGTTTTCAATTCCCTTCCTAATAATACCCAGCATAGCGTTGGCCTTTTTTATTGCAGTCCCACACTGATTTGACATTTTCAGTGAGTTATCTACCATGACTCCAAGATCTCTCTCCTGGTCAGTTACCGCCAGTTCGGACCCCATCAATGTGTATTTATAGTTGGGATTTTTGGTTCCAATGTCCATTACTTTGCACTTGCCCACAATGAACCTCATTTGCCATGCTGATGCCCACTCATCCAGCCTCAACAGACCCCTCTGGAGCACCTTACAGTCCTCCCTGGTTTTCACCATCCTGAACAATTTAATGTCATCTGCAAACTTAGCCATTTCACTGCTTATTCCCTATTCCAAATCATTAATGAACAAGTTAAAAAGCACCGGATCTAGTACCGAGCCCTGCAGTACCCTACTGCTAACCACCTTCCACTGTGAAAACTGCCCATTTATACTCACTCTCTGTCCCCTGTTAATTAACCACTTTTTAATCCACAAAAGGGCTTGTCCTCTTATTCCACGACTGTTGAGTTTACTTAGGAGCCTTTGATTAGGAACTTTTATTAAAAGCTTTTTGGAAGTCTAGGTAAACAACATCTATTGGGTCACCCTTGTCCACATGCTTGTTCATTGCCTCAAAGAATTCTAACAGGTTAGTGAGACAAGATCTTCCCTTACAGAATCCATGCTGATTCTTCCTCAATAGCTTTTGTTCATCAATGTGCCTACTAATTCTATCTTTAATAATGGATTCTACCAACTTACCCGATATCAACAACAGACTGACCAGCCTGTAATTTCCCAGATCTCCTCTGGAACCTCTGGAACCTTTTTTTAAAGACTGCAGTTACATAAGCTACCTTCCAGTCTTTGGGAATGGAGGCAGATTTTTGTGACAGATTGCATTTTTTGTCAGGAGATCCACAAGTTCACATTTGAGTTCTTTCAAAACTCTTGGATGTATGCCATCTGGGCCTGGTGATTTGTCAGTTTTTCATTTGTCCATCAATCGTAGGACCCTCTCTCATCACCTCAATCTGACTCCGGTCTTTTGATACTCCTCCTGATATTGGTGGTCCTGGAGTGGACAAGCATCTCCCATCTTCAACAGTGAAGACAGAGGCTAAAAAAACCCATTCAGCATCTCCGCCCTTTCCCTATCATCCTTTAGTAATCCTTTTACCCCCCTTGGACATCCATGGGTCCCACTGCCTACATGGCTGGTTTCCTACTACTAATGTATTTGAAGAAAATGTTATTATTGGTCTATATGTTTTTTGCAATAAGTTCATCAAACTCCCTTTTTACATGTCTGATCACTGACGTGCATTTTATTTGCCAAAGCCTGTGCTGCCTTTTATTCACCTCACTCAAACTAGACTTCCACCACTTACCTTCTTACCTTCTACTGCTTCCATCACTTTGTTAACCATGCAGACCCTTTTTATACCTATTTGTGCCTTTCCTAACCTGTGATATACATTTTATCTGAACTTCTAGGATTGTAGTTTTAAATAGCCTCCAGGCTTCCCAGAGGGATTTGACTTTTAGCCCTTGCATCCAAAAAATAAGGAATAAGTATTTTCCGCTGCTCAACATTTATGAATCAATGTGCTTCTAAGGAAATAAGATTAAAGTTCCCTAGTAACATAAATGTTAAACTCAATAGCATTATGGTCATCGTTTTCAACAGGTACTATCACAATTACAGCTCTCACCAAGTCTTCAGCATTACTTAGGACCAAATCCAGGATTGCCTTCCCCCGGTAGGTTCAGTGACCATCTGCTCCATGGCACAGTCATTGAGAATATCTAGAAACCCAATCTCTTTCTCCGGACTTGAACACATATTGACCCAATTAATGTGTGGGTGGTTAAAACCACCTATTACAACACAATTATTTCATCTAGCTGCTTTCCTTAATTATCTTGCTGTTTTTAAAATCATCCCCAACCTTCGATCTGGTAGGTGATAACTCTCAGAGTTAAGCTTCTTTGGAGCTCACTATTTCCACCCATAGCATTTCTGTAAGTGAATCTATTTCTCTTACATTCTCGGTCTTACTGGACTGTTTACCCTCTCTGACATACAGGGCCGCTCCACCTCCAACCCTTCCCTTCCTATCCTTCCAATATAATTTATAGCCAGGAATCACTGTATCCCACTGATTATCCTCATCCCACCAAGTTTCTGAAATGCCCACAATGTCTATGTTCTCCTTTGACACTAAGCGTTTCAGTTCCCCAATTTTACCTCGGACACTTCTAGCATTTGTATATAAACATCTATAATTTCCCAGACAGGTTCCTCCTGTGGCATCTATTGTTTTGTCATCCTCTCAGTGGCCAGTCCTAATCCATTTCCCCCTAGAACAGTAACAGTTAACCCTTCATCTCTTAGAGATCAGCCATCTCAAACCAGAGACGTTTCATATCCTGTCATCCCCCCCCCCCAATATTTAGTTTAAAAATCGCTCTGCCACATGTTTGATTTTAAGTGCCAGCAGCCTGGTTTGTTCTCGGGACAACTGGAGGCCATCTCTTTTGTACAGGTTCTGCTTGTTCCAAAAAGCATCCCAGTGCCTCACAAACTTAAACCCTTCCTCCTTGCACCATTGCCTCATCCATGCATTGAGATGCCTAATTTGTGCCTGTCTAGCTGGCCCGGCACATTGAATAGGCAGCACTTCCAAGAAGGCTACCTTGGATGTCCTGTCCTTGAGTCTCCTGCCTAGCAGCCTAATTTTTTCCTCCAGGACCATACATTTCCCCACATCATTGGTGCTAACATGTACCACGACCACTGGCTCCTGCCCAATACTGTCCACCTGCCTATCTAGACCACACATAATGTCCGATATGTTTGCACCAGGCAAGCAAGTCACCAGGCGGTCAGTATGCAGCTTTGCAACCCATCTATCTACATGCCTAAGGATCGAATCACCAACTACCAAGAGATCCCCTCCCCCCCTGCCCAGGGATGGCTCCTTGGTGCAAAAGGATACCTGTTCACCAACTGAAGAAGAGGTCCCTTCTGAGGGAACATTCCCCTTTTCATCAGCATGGCGCCCTGTTTCCCCTTGACCCTCATGCCCCGACAGCAGTGGGGTTGCCATTCTCAGAGTGGGATACATCTAACAAGTCCCCGAGAGTTTTATCCGTGTGCCTAACTGACTGTCTCTGCTTCTCCAGGTCATCCACCTTGGCATCGAGGGTGCAAACATGTTTCCTAAGAACCAGGACTCCTTGCACCAAGCACACACCCATGGTTTCTGAGCAGTTGGCAGACAGTCTTATAAGTTACACTCAGTGCAATACACTGGTATGTTATGGTATGGTATTGTGAAATCTATGGTCAATTCTAGTAGAGAAGAAGAGTTGGTTTTTATACCCTGCTTTTCTCTACCTGAAGGAGTCTCAAAGTGGCTTACAACTGCCTTCCTTTTCTCTCCCCACAACACCTTGTGAGATAGGTGGGGCTCAGAGAGTTCTGTGGCAACTGTGACTGGCCCAAGGTCACCCAGCAGGCTTCATATGGAGGAGTAGGTAATCAAACCTGGTTCTCCAGATTTAGAGGCCGCCACTCTTAACCATTACACCATGTTGGCTCTAAAAGAAAAGAAGCTTACTTGCAAGTTTAAGTTTGCTAGCAGTTTCCCATAGATAGACAGCTTAAAAGACAGGTTGTGCCCTCCCAGGAAAATGGGACAGAGCAGAAGAGAAGTACTCTGCTCCAGACAGATGGCTTGCAGTTACTCCTCCCCCTTCCTTCCCAGAAGAAAAAGGGGGGGAAACTGCTTCCATGTTTCTCCTTGTACTTTTGCAATCCAAGCTAAAGAGTTTTTAAATGGAGTGTTTAATGGAATCCTCTCACTCTGATTTCGGTACTGTATTTTAAATTATAGTGTATAGGTTGCTTAAAAGCAAAGACAAGATAAGAATAAATAAGTAAAAAAGAATAAATAAAACCAGTCTTACTGGACCACACAGAAAAGCCTGAGAATCAGCCTTCATTATTGCACTTTTCCTTTGTATACTTAAGTCTTATGCTTGCCGAGAAACTTTTGGAATAGTTTACCACAATACATACCACAAGCAACACTCTTCCAGACTAGCCTAAGATAGTCGGGAAGGGCTGAGTAAGAGGAAAAAATTCCAGTGTTACAAAGCTAACAGCTCCAAGAAGGGATGATCCCTTCGTGTGAGACTGAGGAGTAAAAG